ATATATATTGATTAAATTGGGTAACAAAAATAAACAAAATTATTCAAGTAGAGTGAAAGCCCTTTGACAATTTTTTACATTTTTCAATAAATGAAATCAAAATCATAAATTTTTTCATTTATTCATTAATATCAACTGTAATTTACGATAAACAAACGAAAATATCAGAAAATACTGGATTTTTTTTCTTTAGTTTACTGTATACTGAATGATACAATCACATTTCGCAGCATGATTCCCCATCAAGCTTTCCTAAATAATTGTTCATTTAGCAATAGTAATTAAAATGAACAAGTATTATTTAGAAAAGCTTGTTCAAGGTGCGATGTATACTATAAATAAATAGATGTATGAATGGGTCTGCCCTATAAACGTTCTGCGAAGAAAAGAGCCCCCCCCCCCTGTTCTTGAGATACTTCGGTGGTAAAAGAAGCTTATCATAGTAAATTTGCAACTTGTGTAGAGTAAAATTAGCACAAGTTTTTAAACGCCGTTCCAATCATGTTTATTATTTGCATGTTAATCCTGAATGTGATATGATTAAATTTATATAAATTGAAAAAAGAAATGTTATTTTTTTTTATTTTTTAAGACACACACAATGATCTTCCGTCATTGAAATAATCATTTCAACAGAATTAAAATTAGAAAGTTAGTATAGCAGCGTTTCCATTATTTTGATCAACCCCAAAGTGTCTAAGCTGTCACTGAGGTTGCAATGCTAGGTGCGTAAGGAATTGAAAAATCAATACTTAATTGTAGGTTTTTGCTTTTAGATATTAGTATATTTTATTTTGTGAATTTACCTCCAATTGAACAAGGCATTCCATCTGGGCAGGTAGTTTCGGCTGCATATTCAACTTCGCTGTTTGTTCGAGCAATGCGTCCAAATACTATTTGCATTGAAATAACCATTACAAGAATCAGTGGAAAAAACATTGCTGCAAGATCTGAAAATTGAATTTTTTTTCCTTTAAATTACTAGTCTAATGTATGACATTTTAACGATTATAATATTTGTCCTGGGTATAAGAAGGCACGTATCTCCTATTTCTTCTAAAAAAAAAGAGGGAGACCACGAAAACCTCTCACGGTTAGCCTGACGGGAACCTAACCCATGATCCATCTACCACTGAGGCTATATTTTAAGTCGGCACTGTGGTCGGTGCATGCCGGATGCGGAATTTGCATCGACCAGACATTGCTGGTATTCGAACCCGGTTCACCTTATGGGCAGGTGAACGTTCTATCCCCTGGTAGGGCACTGGGCCCATGTCCAAGAGATCGTGGGTCGATCCCCGCAGGCTGAAGACTCCCCGTGTAGTAAATGGTGACTAATGCACGTTAAATCTGTCGAGTCATGTTCTCATAACAAATCATACCACAGGGGGTACTGATCCAGGAGTTTCTTGGATTGGTTCAAAATTACTAGGCTATGGAGTTGAACATTAATAGTCGTAAATCTAAAATTGGGTCGGCTGTTCAACGACGGTTATAAAATATATAAAAAAAAGTATTGTAACACTAGTAGTATACACCGTTGTATAAGCGGCGGAAGTGACGTCACAGTCAACCGGAGCTTATTTCTGCCCCAACCGGAAGTCGCTTATTTCTGCCCACATTCAAACCGGAAGTCGCTTATTTCTGCCCAACTTCAAACCGGAAGTTGCTTATTTCTGCCCGCCTATAAACCGGAAGTTGCTTATTTCTGCCCGCCTGAAAATCGAAACTTCGTCTGCAACGTCATGGGGAGCTTATTTCTTTTTTTTCTTAAGCCTAACATATTTTTAGTTTCGGTTTCTGTTTTTAATTAAGTTTCGTTTTTTTAAATATTATATAATTTATTAGTTTTTTGAGGGTGGCAACACTTATTATTTTTAATATTNATAAAATATATAAAAAAAAGTATTGTAATACTTCAATCAAAAAATAGATATATATAAAAATTATCGTTTGCACTTTTGGCAGCTGTTAAAAGTTTACTCTTCACAAATGGCCTTGTTGCACTAGTTGCATACACATTTTGTCATTCCGCGAATCTTAGATGGCCAGAAAAAAGCGCATTTTAAGTTGCGTCTGCCATAGGAGTTTTTTGATGTTCAAAATGTCTTAATGTTTATTTTGATGGAATTAAACATTCGACTGTTAAACGATTTTTACCGCAAATATCGAAAAGTACCATCGTTGCTTATCACCTTCGAATAACAAAACGCTCTCCGGAACAGTGAATGGACAGGACAAGTGCGACATCAAACAGTACATTCTAAGGTAAGCGACATGCTTTGTTGTTTAATCTGAAATCCCGCAATTGTTGAAAGGTTGGCTAATAGCTCAAGATAGTGCTTTTTATATAAAAGGTTATAATAAGTGATTTTAAAAATAATTGTAATTACAATAAATCGAACATTCCTTAACTATCTTTGAAACAGCCGATTTTGACAAAAATTTAAGACAAGCAGAATGTTAACCAGTTCGACCGTATATCACGAATTAATATTAAGCAGATATACTTAAAATACTTTATACTTTAAAAAATAATGGTTGCTAAAATATATAAAAAAGAAATAACGATGGACCTTAAGAAGTAAAAAGTTTTACATTTTGAGAGGTAAGCAATATTAGTGTCACCAAACTGATAACACTGAGCCGGAAAGTGTTAAAAATGTACATATTTCTTAGATTGATTTATCTCCTTGTTTAGTAATGTGTATGAATTGTATTAAGTATGAAATGTTGATATTCAACTAAATAATTTATTCTGAAAACAAAAATTTTAAGTCCATATAAAACGTACTTACATGAAAATGCCTGGACGACTAACAATTATTTGAAAACTAAAACAATTTTAGGAACATAGCTCTGTGTTATATTTATATGAAATTTATTTTCAATGTAGACCTTTATCTTTTCCCTCCCTTATAAAAAAACGAATAAAATCTCACTTTTTTTTTTCTCACAACGGTGTTAAACGAATTATTTCTTATCGAATTTCTAAACGAATTATTTCTTATAGTATTATTTCTTATCGAAGAAAATAACTGACTAATTTGATGTAAAACTGTATAATCAGATGTTGGTGAACAAATATTAGTGATTCTGGAATAATAAATTTCATTTGGATTTAATTCTGGCAATTTAATCAATAATTTCGAACATATTTATAATAATCTTAACAGATCTTGAGGAAACAATGTCTGAGCTGTTCGTGTTGTTATCTTTTTCAAATAAACACGTCCTTAATGACCTTCCTTTCCTCCCTTTGTTTCTTTTCTCCTTTTCCATTTCTTATGAGTCAGACTTAGTTTGGAACACCGCGTCGTTGAATTTCATTAAGTTGTGCATAATATTGTTTGTGTTTAGAGCATTATAGCTGTTTTTGGATGTTGTGTTATTGATTCTACATTCAATCACTCTTAATCTGTACAGTTCTAACGATTAACAATCTAAGAAACTAGTTTTTAATGATTTCTGGTTATCTATCATCTTAAATAATATTTCTTTTGAAAAATATCGATATTATTTTTTTGTTTTTAATCCATTTGATTAAATCTTATTTAATTGTGATATTCACCCATATCCAATTTTGAGGATTCTACTGTAGTTTTGAGAAAAGTGCTTCATGAAAAATTTAAATGTGAAGTTTTAAGTTGGTTAAATACTGAAAATACTATTAAAATTTTTTAAATATCCCTTATGTTTAAGGAAAAGAATTAAAGATATTTTGTTAGAAATAAATAATAATTACTTTTTTTTTTAACCAAACAATAATTTCTTTTTATATTTATATAAACCTTAGATTTAGGTTTTTGTAAATTATTATTCATTTTACAAGTTTTTTTTCATTCCTTTTGAGTGAATTGCGGTATTTTTTTCTTTTTTTGGTGATTATACTTCTCATTTCATCTAGCTGCTGCAGTCATTCACACGTCTGCATTCCATGGAAACAGGGTATTAAAAAATTTTTTTAATTAATGAAAAGTTCATAAATGCTGCGTCAGAGTTGTGTAAAGATTTTTAAAAAGATAAACCGGCTTCGAATTGTTACAAGATACGTTATATTCTGTTATCAATATGAGAACGTAAAAGTTATCTATTTTTATCGTATTTTTTTTCTTCTTCTGTTTGTGTATGTTTGCTCAGATATTAAAGAGTGCTTTATGTAGTTGCAAAAGTTTTTCTCAGACCATGGCGTTCCATAATTTTCTTAGGAGGTGTCAAACGGTATGTTTATTTGACTTAACTACCTACAAATTTGGCAACTTTTACGAATTTTATTTAAGAGTTATTTAGATAGACATTAAAGTTATTAGGAATATTTTTAAATTTTGTTAGGCTTACACACAGAGATAAACAAAATTGAAAAAGGTTCGTTTAATATGTATTTTAAAATCTTTATGTCGTGGTGGTAATTAATATAATTTTAAATCATTTATATTTGCAGAGATGCCGACTGCTCCGGACACGCCAAAATATTTTTAAAAAAAACGGTAAATAACTACAAAGGAAATTTTGCAAATATTTGATTATTTTGCTCCCTTTTTAAAATGTATAGCATGACATAAATATTACAAAGTGGTGAATTATATAAGCTTACGAATTATTTAGAAATAGTGGTGGATAAAAATCTACTAAATTGAACTTATTAAACCAAGAATTGCAATTGTTAAACTACCACTTTAAAATATATATTTGCTGTCCGGAGCAAGTTGGCATCTCTGTATTTGTTATGGCGGTGGTAAGAATTATAATCTAATTGGAATATTTTTATTTTATAATCTGACGCAAAAAAAAGTTAACTAAGAGTTAACATGATTATTTTTTTCTTAGTTTAGGTACATTTAACAAATTAGACCAGGACAATTTTGATGTTGCATTAAATTATTTTAGTAGGTACCATTGTTGTCGAAAATTTTTTTGTATCATTTTAATTAAACTAAAAATATTAGAATATACCTCAGGAAACTTTTTTCGCCCAAACAAAAAAATTTTCATTTTTATGTAAATGCAAGAATGCCATAAGGGACTAAAAAAGTAAAAAATGGTAGAAACTCAATTCACTTTTACATTTATCAGGGTGCGTAGCGATTTTAAAAAGTGTTTAAAGGTGCTTATTTTTTATTTTCATTTTTCACAAGCCCTTAAAGGTGTTTTTTTTCTTTGGGTGTTTTTAAAAAGTGCTTGCTTAATTTTCCCTTTTCGAAAATGAAAATTTTCATTTACCATGTTGATTTTCGCTACGAATTATGCAAAAAGACGCAGTTCATATTGTTCTATTCAACGTTTTCGCAAATAATTCAACCCCAATCTATTGTCAGTTCGTAGCGTATAAAAAGGTCGTTCGTTTTACATGATTCAAAATTTCATGATTTTTAACAATTGTTAAAACAAATTCCAAAAGTTTTTTTTTTTTTTTTGACATGAGAATTGAAACAAAATAAAACCGTCAATTGTAATAACTTTCCAACCCTGCCTAATTACGATATTTATTTAAAGTGCTTAAAAATATTTTTTTAATGGTTGAAAAGTGCTTATAAGATCCTAATTTTTTGCTGAATAATTTGGCTATGCACCCTGTTTATTTTCTCTTTATTTAATCAATCATAACTATCACTATGACTTATTACATTTCAAATTATTAACATTTGAAAAATATATATACTTTGTTTTCATTTGCAACAGTAAACTAGAAAAATATGCTATGAAAAATTGCTAATTTTAAATTCATTTATTGAAATTTTGAATTTTAACTCTCTGTACTTTTTTCATTTATAGTCACCCATATAAAAAAGTTATTATTATTATTTAAAATAGTAGTCACAAATCCGTTTATCTACAAATCCGTTTATAGGGCGGGTTTTATTCACACAATCACTCTGAGGAAAGGACATAGAACACACAGAGAGAAAGTTACATCCATGCCTACGGTGGGATTCGAACACGCATCCACTGGCCTCGCAGTCCAGTGCAGTAACCACTAGACCAGTGATCAGGCAAATTTGAAAAAGTGGCAGGCAGAATTTCATAAGAGTTGGAGCAAACTTGTCACTAGTTACAACTTCAATTTTAAAAAAAATTACGACGAAAGATTATTGTACTTGATGAGACTACTTGTAATAAACCTTTGTAATTAAGAATATATTTCTCCTCCAGAAAATAAGGTAGATATTAACTGGCTTTAATGCCAATTTCTTTCCCCTCTTTTCTCACGTTACAAACAGACTTGTATTATGCAGGGATGTCACTGCTCCGCTTTCTACAAAAGTTTTAATTAATTGGTAAGGTATTAAGCAGTATAACTTGTAGAATAATGATAACTACGGCCTACTCTTTAAAAGTGTCACCACGAGATAATTGCGAAAAGTTTAATTTTTTATGATACTTTTAAATTTTAATGTGCAGTGGTGGAAAAATGACATAAAATGAAAAACGTTAAATTAAAAATAACTGAAATTTTGTTACCACTAGAAAATATTTTTTTCAAAGCGAAGCAAGTTGGCAGCTATGCATAATACAGGGATGCCAACTTGCTTCGCTTTGTAAAAAAATTGGACGATCGCTGAGAAAAACTTTTTTTAGTGATTGCAACATTAGCGTTCTGTCGTGTTCGTACCTGCCAACTTGTACGGTCGCTGAAAAATATTTTACGAAGTGGTAGTTAAACAAATATTAAAGTTGAAAATAATTTCAAAAAATTAAATTACTTTGTTGAGAGGTTATTACGTTTACCATAAAATTATATGCACACATTCTTTTTTATTGATTTGTAGTGGTAGGTTGAAAAAATATTTTTAATCTTTAAAATGAAGATTTAATGCGTCAAAACTCTAAAATGTTGCTACCACTAAGAAAATTCTTTCTCAACGGCCGTAAGAATTAGCAGCTATGCGTATTAAAATTTCTATGCCAATAGTCTCAGTTGCCAATTAGCACAACTCAGATGAAGGAGTCGTGTGACCGCTATCTCGGGCAGGTACTCCAGCGAATCTCCTATCAAGTCAAGTAAGCATATGAAAGTCTCGAAAAAAAATTTTTTAACTTCCACTACCATGACGAATCAGTAACTTAAGAAATATGATGATCAGATCTATTTGTTGGCTAAATCTCTGGCCAAGCGGTTTCGTCGGTCCGCCAAATGCTCTCAAGTGTTAAGGTAGCGGGATCGAAACCCGCCGTGTCCCATTGTGTATTATGATGCTCTTCAATGTGATAAGTGTTTTTAAACAGTCTAAATAATGAGCACATAAACCCACGTATGTATTTATGTATTAAAGATTTTATTTTTCATTTCAGGCAGTAAGAGGGTATGATCCATTTAATCAAGCAAGATTATTTCATGTTTCCCCCCTGAGCTATGCAGCCCACAAGGTAATCAATTAAATTATTCACTAACTTCTATCTCTTTCCACACATACATACACACATATATATCAGTATACTTTTCTTTCTTTAGGTTGCTATGAGTAGGTTTGATAAAGATTCATATCTGCCATGCGAAAAACTTGCTGAAAACTTGGCAATAGTACGAGGCAGGTAAAGCATTGGTATTTACTTTTACTTTTTTTTCTTTTATTTAAAATATGTATAACATTCTTATAGTTAGATGTTTACATAAATGCCACCTTTTACAAGGTTTTGGAAACTGTCTTTTTTTAATGCTTAAAGCGGTAAAAAAAAAGTATTTTTTTGAATTCTTGATTCATATACTTAATTTAAAATGATTTAATAATTTGGCAAAATAACAACACTGATTTAGCGAGCAATTTTTCTTAGGCCTTATGATATATACACAGTCCAGTCACATTAATGTGACCACCACCTACTTTCGACGTCAACGTGAAATAATCAATCACAGAGTTCATGTGGCAGCACATTACAGTGTAGTGTATATATTGGATGTCCTAGGGCATGGAAAAGCATTTCAGTCGTTGGCGCAATGCAGAAACGTAGCGATTTATCTGACGTCCAAAAGGGCATGATTATTGGCTTTCGGACCAAGGGTGGAAGCATTTCGGAAACGACTGATTTCGTGAACTGTTCGCGTGCCGCCGTGGTAAAAGTATATCGAGCATGGCAAAATGGCACTATACAAAGCAAGCGGCGTGGCACATGTGGTGCACCACGGGCCAAAGATGGCACAGGCGAAAGAAAGCTACGGGAATGCGTTCAGACGAATAGACGTGCAACTGTTGAGCAACTGACCGCCCAAATGAACCAAGGGGCTATCAAGAGTGTATCCTCAACAACTGTTCAGCAAACGTTGCTGCGCATGGGCCTCCGCAACAGACGCCTGGTTAATGCACCCATGCTGACTGCTGTTCATCGGTGACGAAGGCTGGAATTTGCACGCCAGTACCGCAACTGGACGTCCACAGAGTGATAACAGGTGGCTTTTTCCGATTAATCACATTTTAGCTCCATGGGACAGATGGACGTTGGCGTATACGGCGTGAAACGTCTGAAAGCTTTTNCAAGATGCTACAGCTCAAGTACAAAATATAAATTAATAGACTTATTATTTTTGAAATTTTAACTTAAATTTTTTTTGAATAATTAATATATTTCATTATTTAAAATCTTAAATGATGAAGATTTTAAGTTAAATTACTATAGATAATCTAAGAAAATTCGTTATGGTTCCTTTTAAAAACACTTTTTGGGATCTACATAATTAAATAGCTGATAGTTTAAATATTCACAAATCACTTTACTTAAGGGTAATTACTTTAAAAATATTTTTAAACATTTTTTATTTGTTTAAATAAATTATTAAATATCGGGAAAACAAAATAATGAAATAATATATTCTTTTCTCCGCAAAATGGAGTGCTTTCTAATATAGTCTCAATATAACCAAAGCAAAATATTAGGAAAATACAGAACAAAACACAAGACGAAATCTATAAAGGGAGTTACAAATTCAAATGAACTCACTCGAACCGGAATCTTTCAAGAATGAGTTAAAATATTTTCGTAATAATATTGCCAGATTATAAAATATGAAAACAGAGGTGTAATTGGAGGGATCTTTAATGGCGAGCTCTTACTGCAGAACTGAAGTACATTTGATTTGCTTGCTCTGTGCCTTAGATTTGCCCGAAAATGGATGTGCGCAAGGTAATGATATTATACTGGATAATTTAAGGTTTATAATTAACAAGGTTGATACCCAATTATACAATTTTAATAATTTTAGAAAATTAACAATTATTTTTAAAAAAAACGAAACATGACTTGTTTATCAGGCACTAAATTACTAACAATACTGTTCAAATCCATAAAAATAGGCTCAAAGAGCAAGGTTCCAAACAAATTAGAAAAACAAATTAAAAATGGAAACAAAAATAAAACGAAAGTAAGTTAAAAGTTGCTACACTTTGGCAAATTAAGAAGAATTATTTCAGGCTTCAATCGCAATTCAAACGTTCCTTCTACCACAAGTAGTAAAAGTAGGCCGGTATGCAATTGTACGCAAAAATATTTTCATGTTTTGCTAAAATTTATAACTCTGGAGGGTACGTAATTAAGGGAATAGTACTAAGTGTTTGATTTATAATATTCTTGGCGTATTAGTTTCAAAATCAATCCTGATATTTACACTAAATGGTTGACATTCTCCTTTTTAAACACTTATGAAAATGTAGTACAAAGAAATCAATTAACAATTAACGTGAGAAAATATTATAAAAAATATAAAATACTTGCGAAAAAGGAAACCTAATAAAACCATAACATAAAAAATTTCGTGTTACTTTTAAACGCAATAAAACTTGCTATGATATAAGTTTTAGCTGGGTCTAAGCTTGTTAGACGATAGTCATTTACCCCTTACTTGTAAAACTATACAGTATAGTACTTTCAATTTACCAAAATTAGTTACAAAAGATGAAACGGAAAAAAATGGTACATAAAACTTCATTAAGTCTAAACATTAAAATTGTTTTAAACTAGTTTTACTTTATAAATATTTTATATTGATTCTAGTATTTTATCTTAATGCATTTTGTATGAATATATTTTATCTGAATAAAGGTCAGATTTAGATGACCAAAATTTTGTATTATTTCTACTTACATAATTACCGTTCTCTTAAAAAGTCATATTATTGGTGTTATATACTTCACAGATATTTTGTTACCGTGTAACAAAGATAGTCCAAGCCATTAATTATGTCATTGTTTATCTTATCATTGCTGTCGTTAGTTTTTTTATGTTCTTTATGAACAGATTGAGCGACTAACCTTTTTGTTTTCTCTTTCAGATGACAATGTTACAATTTATATCAAGTGGACTTCAAAAGGTAGTTTTAACAATTCAAAATTTCATGCTTTAATATCCACTAGCTGAATACCCGTTTCGTAGAGGTTTGAAAAACTTAAACAATCAATAAAACAGCATTGGTCAAAACTACGAAGTCGTACTCAAAACTGAAACACATATCAGGACACAATTAATAAAACTAAAATTTATTCATTTTTTTCTTCTTAATATTCATTGCCATTCCCTGAGTCCTTGCGTTATTACATTAAGCAAAAAAGGATTTTAGAAGTTTCCTCCAGTACAGATTAGACAAAAGTGGTTAGAAACTCTTCTATATTAACTCTGTGTAAACAATCTTTCTTTTAGCAAGCAAATGCTTTGGAAGCTTTTACGTGGAAAAATTGTTCGTACAATTTGAAAGGTCAATCATGAAGCTCTAAAAAGGGTGCCCTTTTTACCCATTCAAAATTTGCATATAGACTAAAATGAGTATGAGAAGTTAAGTGCCTTTTCCTTTTTTAATACCACTATAATTTTAAAAGTATTCTGATATAAATATTAAAATCATATGCAATGATTCTAGAGCAGAAGGGAAGATTATTAGAAGACTTGTCGGCACCCCTAAATGCATTAGCAATAATAGTATAAAAAGGGATCTAAAAATTGATGACATCAACGTCTATATAAAAAATTCTGCGATGAAGCAGAAGCCCAATCACTGCTTTTCTCCTTAGGGATATGGTGTTGCCCTAGCACACGAAATACACTCAGCCCCAGCCCAACTTTGGTTTTCTCTCAAAATTACACTTCGACGAACAGTATTACATAACATATACATGGACCGAGGAGGGCGAGCAACCCCAAGGGGTCGACCCCAAGGAATATGTAGTATAATTAAGACTAGTGTGGTGAGCAACCCAGAAGACGAGTGGTTATTCACAACCAGGACGCCTGGGTCACCACTGTAGCAGAGCTCATGACATAATTTTCTCTCATTGATATTTCTCCTATTGTATATATCTATTTTATTTTTATCTTATTTTTTATTCAATTTGAGTTGATTATTGTGTGTTGTAAATATGTATACATTTTATATTTAACGCAGACCTTCCTTAATATTATCGATCATCATAATCTTCATGATTATTTTATTTTATATTGTTTATGATTATATTGTCGTTTAATTATACCCCATGCCACTCTACATTTCATGATTGTCTATGTCACACGAACCCCCTCTCGATTTTTTGGTGCTGAGCACCTATTCTTCCCCCCATCTCCACTTCTCCTCAATACTCTTCATCAATCGGTTAATGCCGCTTCGAGGCAACGCACCGAGATTTATGTGATTTATGCCGTTCTACCAATGATTCTAAATTTACTGATATGAAAGACAAAACGAAATTTTAAACTTTACATTTCGATCAATCCGAATTTTGCAGGAGCGAAAAGGATGATCTTTCCACTTGTGAAAACAGTTTTGTAATGTAAAATTTTGCAAAGAAATTAGCTGTTAAAAGAAAGATTGTTTACATAGCGTTAGTATCCATATTTTTGTCCAACCCCTGTATATTCAGTTACATTTGGCATAAGGCTAATGTTTAAGATCAACCATCGTCGTTAGTCACTAATTGCCTTAATCAACAATTTCCTCTGGTGCTTATTCCTTTCGTTAGACCATGAAAAACCTTTTTGCTCAGTAACTATCGCAGGTATCTTGGTGCCACTACCAGTATATTTAGTAAGTACTAAAAACACCAATTGACATAATAAAAGTAGTACCCATCACCAAAATTAACTGAGCATCATTGGTGTTAATGACAGAGCGACTAAATTTAGGTTTAATTCAAGGTTCCCATATACGGACGAGTATCTTTTCTTTCTTAATTTAGTTAACACAGTATCTATTTTCTTTATTTCAATTTGTGCCTATCAGCAAAAATAATTAATTGTTATTCTCGAAAATGATTAATAACGACACTAATATTTTCATAATCATTTTCGGCGAACTAATATCGGAATTTATTTTGTAGGCTGTAAAAAATTGCCTAACTTTTATTGACTCCAGTGACGTTTAACTAAATGTGGTATTAAACACTACTAGTATTTTATTTTATTTTGTAACCGTCGTTGAACAGAAATCCCAATTTTGAGTTTACGAATACTAATGTTCAATACCCTAGCCTCGTAATTTGAAACCAATCCAAAAGACAAGGGAACTCCTGGACCAAGTAATGGGAGAAATTTGCCTTCGTAGAGGCCTTTTTTTTTATTTTTTTATTTTTTATGGAACTAACCAGCGTTTGTGTTACTTGGAGAGGATAACCATGAAAACGTCTCGCGATTAGCCTGACGGCAAGGGAATTTTAACCCATGATTCGTCTACCAGTGAGGATATTTCTTTTACGTGAGCAGAGAAAAAATCCGCATTTGCGTTACATGAAGAGGACAATTTTTTTAAAAGAAACACATTTAAAAAAATTTCTTCTACTACTATTTCGTTATAACTATTCTTTTGATTTATTTCAATGTTTTAATATCAGTGATGTGACTGATTTTTTAAAACGAATTAAATAAGTCAATATTGGTATAAAAAAAATATGATCATTTCAAAAGAACATTTTATTACATTAGCTTTAATGTGCTTTCTAATCTAAATACTATACCATAATATTAATTGCATAATATATGAACACATCTTAGAATATTATTAGTAACGTCATTAATTTACGACATTTTTTAAGCTTTTGATATTTGGGATGAGCGATCAAATCCTTACAAGACATATCTTAACATGTTTTTTTTCCTATTAAGTGTAATTGAAGTAATAATAATAAATTATCTTGTTAAAATTGGGGTCTTTTTCTCTTTCATATTGGAAAATGCAAAACCTTTTGAATAAATAACTCCTTTTAATTACTATTCAAATTGACTTAAGTTGAGAATTTTACATCTTTAAGTGGATCAACTCAAAAAATTATAATCTTGAGGCATAAGATTAAAGTTTACTAACATTTTTTGAATCGTAAGGAGACTTTTCTTCCTTCTAAAAGAGTGGTTCCAAGATTTGGTTAACTTGGCTTATCAGAAAATGTACACCATTAATAAGGACCCTTTATAAATATTTCATTTTTAAATAATGATACGATGATATAGCTTTCGAACTATATGTTCTGGTTCCATTCATTATATTATCAATGCTTCATCTCCATTCTACTACTTGTTTTATTTTTTGCTACTATGAAAATAAAGCGTAAAACTGAAACTAACTTGAAATTTGTAATCCTTGTTTAGTCCATTTCATCCAATAATGTAATATCACTTGCAAGTTTTATGGCTTATTTACGTCTAATTTCAATTACATTCGTAATTTTCTTTTCTTTCTTTATCTTTTCATTTATTTTTTCTATTATATTTCATTAGGTTGCAGTGCCATCTACAATTCACTGTGATCACTTCGTCCAGGCTCAAATCAGTGGAGATAAAGATCTCGTTCGTTCAGAAGTAATGTGATGTATTTTCTACCCTTTTTGTTGTAACGAAAATTTAATGATTTTGCGCAATTGAAATAATGAATGCAAGTAAAAAGAGTTTTCTTTTCACCTTAAATTAGAGATGCATTTTTGATTGTTTGCTTATGAAATGAGGTTCACAGCCATTTGCACAGTCATCGTTGGGGATGGAATCATGTAGATTTGTGACTGAATTTTATTTGCGTGATGGACATGAAAGAATAAAAATATAATTTTAAATAAGGAAATGCGAAAAAAAAATAAGGAAAATATAATTTTCGATTCGAACCTGGTGCGGAACTCATATCGACCAGCCATCGCTGGATTTAGAACCTCGGACACCTCATTGGGAGGCGAGCCCTCTATCCTCTGATCCACCACAGCTTTAGTAAAAGAATAGTTAAATTTGTTTAATTTTATATATTTTGCTCATTTTTACAGTCATCATTATCATTAACACGACCGTCCTGGATGGGTCTTGGCCTTTTCTAGAGCATTTCACCGTGCCGTTCTCCTTGTTTCCCGATCAATACCCTAATTATTTTAAAATTAACTCTAATGGAATCCAGACAACGAAGTTTTGGACGTCCTCTAGCTCTACAACCAGTTGGTTTGCTCTTGAATATCTTATACGTTGGACTAGTGTATCTAAATTGTGCTTATCTGTGGGTAAAATATCACAGATTGATTCACAAGTTCACGTTTGAATTAATTAAATGCGGTGATGGGCAAAAATTCACTGCATCACATATTTCTTGAACCCAGAAATAATTATTACAGCTGAAAGTAAACTTTAACAAGAAAAAATCCTCGGTAAAATGTCTCAAAGTTTGCAACTAACCTTTTTATGGAACTATAAGTATGATAGTTTATGCAGGGTACCGAGTCAAATATAGTTTGAATGTATAGCACTTTGTTCTATTTTACATGCATTGATGACAAATAAAAATTGCCTTTTTTAAATTGAAAAGATACATCTCAGTTGATACATCGTTTCACGTGTAGTAGTAATAAATAAAAACTCGTAATTGTGCTTTTTTTTCTTGGTTAATTCTGTAAATGGGATAGTAACAAATAATATTTTTGACAGTGTGAAAAATAAATTATTAGATTAAAGTAATGAGTACTAGAGGTACAAATTTTTTTCTAAATGCTTCTCATTTTTTTAATTCTAAAATATTAAATATGTAACTGCACGAATTTAGTTTTAAAGGAAAATTTTTTATTTGTATGAATTTTTTTTCCTTATCTGTGCTAATTGATACAAGGTGAATATGATCTAAAATTTAAATGCTAGAGAATAATATTTTACAAGTAGATTTAAAGGGAAAATATAATTTTATTTTTCTCTAGTCAATAATGAAAAATGTAAAGCGTAATATTTCGTAATATTTCACTTCAGAAATTCTCTCTAATTTTAAGTTTTTTGTCTAACAGAAATAAAACTATTTTCTCCTCTTTCGGACAACTTGAAAAGCAGTTTTTAAACTTTTCGAATCATTTTAGTACTTATCAAGTTTTTCATTTTAGGATATGAATAAAGAAGTTTTCAAATTCTTAGAAACTGCTGCTGCTAAGTATGGGGTAGGATTTTGGAAACCGGGGAGCGGTATCATGCACCAGGTATGCTTTTAAACTAAAAAATAATTTACTATTACCGAATTATCAGATAAATATTTTGCTTAGTAATAAAATTTTAGAGAACTCATTCATTTATTTCCGATTGTTTCAGAAATAAATTTATGTTAGAAACATTACACTTAATATTATGTGAATTATTCTCTGTTTTAGATTATCCTGGAAAATTATGCTTTTCCGGGTCTTTTGCTTATTGGCACTGACAGTCATACAACGAATGGAGGTGAGTAAGCTGACAATATGATTTTTGGTTTTTTCAAAGGAAAGGTAAACCAGAGTAGTAGCACGATAAATACAGTATAGCTGTAGTAGCATCACTTTTAGGGTAATAACAGAAGGAATGAGTAAGTATTTGCAGAATCCGTTGTACTGATTAATCTGTTTACATGAAAGCGTTTAAAGTTAAGGCAAAGTCCACCTGAGAAAGATGTATGCAGGCCAATACAGTATGAGTTTAATTTTTAGTAGTAAAAGGTGATTGTTTAATCAGATAGATTAGGTTTAATCAGATATAGTGCTACACGGATATCGAGTCGTAACTTTTTTATTACCTCTAACTGTTTTGTCAGCAGATCCAGGGCAGGTAAACACCATGATCTCCAATGGATTCAACAGAAATCACTGTTTGGTAAATTTGATATGCTGTTCGCTAATAACGAAAACTTTTTGCTCGATTCTGTAACTGCCAGTTATTCTTGACAGTGTTCACAGGCAGAAGTCATTAATGTCAGCTTTACATTCACCTTCAGACACTAAAAGGGTACCAAAGTGTGTTGAACTGTTTTGGAGGCATCTATCTTGGCACAATTTTACATTCTCTTTAAATGCTGTCATGCAAACTAAATTCGCTAAGCATGATCTGTATAGCACTCCTCTTACTAAAATTTATAATCACGAAGGATGACGTTGCTATATATACTGTATTTCTGACGCGATCACGCTTGTCCTTTTTTCCATTAGGTGATCATTATATTTTAAAAGAATTCTCCTGAAACTTAAATACACGTGTGTCTTTCGTACCTGATTACAGGTGGCTTAGGAGGAGTATGTATAGGTGTAGGTGGAGCGGATGCAGTTGATGTTATGGCAGATATTCCATGGGAGTTGAAGTGTCCGAATTTTACTGGAGTCAAACTTACAGGCAAACTAAATGGTTGGACTTCTCCAAAAGGTAAGTATTATGACTATGCATTCAATTATAATTTATTAGTCTATATTTGAAACAAAACAAAAACTTTTTTAATTGAAAATCATCTTGGAGAAATTACTTATTTCTACACATAGATAAATGTTCTTCATTTTTTTAAAATCTGAAATATTTTAATCGTTGCAAGCTCTAAAAATATTTTTTTAAATGTAAATTTTGTTGGAATGGTCAGAAATTGTACAAAGTTGGGATTTTTTGTGGAACTAAGCAATCGAAGACAGTGCGAAACATTAATAATACATTTCACTCTAGTGTTACTAAGCAGAAAACTCTATCAAACTGGTTTGCCAAAATTAGGATTTGAATTTACAAACGAACCACTTGGTCGCTTATAATCAAAAGTCAATAATATTGAATTAATGGTTGTCACTGATCCACCATTGACCATCACAGATGAAGTATACAGCATCCAGCTGGGTGAAATGAATGAAAAACTTTAAGAAAAACAGCCTAAATTCGTCAAAAGATCTGGCTTCTATCTTAGAGTATGACAGCGCAAGACCACACTCTGCACAACGACTGCTACAAAACTATGTGAATTGGAGTTAGAACTTCATCATCATCATTCATATTTACCAGATCTAGCTCCCCCACTAACTATCATCTCCTCCCCAATCGAGACAATGTGTTAATTGGAAATCAATTTAATTCCAACAATGCAGTACAATTGACCTTCCAAATAGTTAATGACTTCCCAAAATTTTATTACACCGGTCTTTACAACACAACGTGTTGCTCTATTATCAAAAGTGTATAGACAATATGGATACATACTAAAATGAATAAAATAATTCTTTATATTTATAAGTTACCTAACGATTTTGCTTTTTTTTTTTATCTAAGAATTTCATTCTATGATCCAGATTTCATTCATCGCCATGATTTTATACCACCAGTCTATACAGCCTGTTGCTTAATTAGCTTAGGTGTATTGACGATATGGGTGCATACTTCAATGAACAATAGAATTATTTATAAGCTATCAGTCAACCTTGGCTTTTGTTTCTACTAATTTGATTCATGCCATTCCTTCGCCCTATCTTGACGATTTTAGTCAAAATTCAAGGGGTGCTTAGTGGGAATTTTAAGATATTCTTGATAGAATAGAGAGCGTTTGCAAAGCGTTACGAATCCCTAGCTATAACATTAACGCTATTTGTGCTTGAATTTTCCTATAAATCAAATATTGCTGGAGAAAATAAACCTATTAACCTAACCTAGAGCCTAATATTTACATATCCGGCTGCCGATAAAAGCTTAAAAGTACATGATCGACTGGAATTTGAATAAGTCTATGTTAAGTAGGGAAATATTATTTTCTAGCCCTGGTAGTCTCCGCAATGCAATAAAAAACATACTATCTGAATATGGATTATGAATTTACATTGCCAGATTAGTAATTCAAGTCTTTTATCATTCTTTTCAGATGTAATTTTGAAAGTAGCCGCAATACTAACAGTTAAAGGTGGGACTGGTTCGATTCTGGAATACACTGGTCCCGGAGTTGAATCGATTTCTTGTACAGGTAAATTTATCTATTTCTAACCATCTTTGTATCATTATATATGCTAAATTTTAATTTTACCCCAACGAAGTAATTTTTTTTAAAAAGTTAAAACTTGTTCTTTTTCAATGTTCTTTTTTTATGCTAGTGGTTTTATGAAAGTGTAAATAGGAATCGTAATATGTGTTCATTACTAATATTTTATATAGTTAACTAACTTCACGCTGACGTTGTGCTTTCGAAAAAACTTTACCGACACGAACCAGTCGTGTCCACGAACCAGACGTGCCCACGAAAGTCGTGTCCACGAAGGGATCAGGTCGGCGAAGTGATCATGTCGACGAAGTGGCGTCGTCGATATGATTTGACGGGGAAATAATTTTTGTCGATATAACCGCACGTACTTCCAGTTGGTCTAAATACATTTAAATTTCAAATTACATTAAATTATTCTTAAATAGAAATTGAAAGAATTAAGAGCGTCATTTGGAATTTCTTAATTCATCCTACTATGTATTGTTTTGACTCAAAAGTGTCCGACTTCTTAAAAGGAAATGAGGTGAAAAGAAATATTATGAAAAGAATAAGATTAATTGCATATTTAAATCACGAGGAAATTTTCCACATAATGCCGTTAAAGTTATTCAAAAAATTATATTTCCAACTAATAAGAAATGTAAGATCCAATTTAAAGAGTTTACATGACTAATCTATCACAGAGGTCATGCAACCAGTTTTAATCTTTTTGAGAAAAACAAGAACAGCTCTTTGAACGTAAACTCTTTCGAGCTCTTAATTATTTACATAAAATTAAATCAAAAACTTTATTTCTAAACTTCCTTAATCATGTTTACTAAAAATAATTTTCACTTTCAAATTCATTATAAATGCCGTAGAATAGTGATGAATATAGAGTATCCCTTTTTATCATAAGTGAATTTTGTAAGCGTAGCTACTAACTCTCAAGGTTCCCCCAAGAAATGATATTGGGAAATTTTCTGCATTGTGATCTGTGGCGAAATAATCGCCAAGTCTCGCAACTTATGGGCAGTGGCCCTCGAAAAACTAAAAAATAAATATGTAGTAAATACGCAAATAAGTACCTATCACACACCCTTTTTTATCAAAAGTGAATTTTGTAAGCGTAGCTACCAACTCTCAAGGTCTACACAAGAAATGATATTGGGAAGATTTCTGCATTGTGATCTGTGGCGAAATAATCGCCAAGTCTCGGCAACGTATGGGCAGTGGCCCTCGAAAAACTACAAAATAAATATGTAGTAAATACGCAAATAAGTGCCTATCGCACACTCTTTTTATCAAAAGTGAATTTTGTAAGCGTAGCTACCAACTCTCAAGGTTCCCCCAAGAAATGATAGTGTGAAGATTTCTGCATTGTGATCTGTGGCGAAATAATCGCCAAGTCTCGACAACTTATGGGCAGTGGCCCTCGAAAAACTAAAAAATAAATATGTAGTAAATACGCAAATAAGTGCCTATCACACACCCTTTTTATAAAAAGTGAATTTTGTAAGAGTAACTACCAACTCTCAAGGTTCCCCCAAGAAATGATATTGGGAAGATTTCTGCATCGTGATCTGTGGCGAAATAATCGCCAAGTCTCGGCAACTTATGGGCAGTGGCCCTCGAAAAACTAAAAAATAAATATGTAGTAAATACGCAAATAAGTGCCTATCGCACACCCTTTTTATCAAAAGTGAATTTTGTAAGCGTAGCTACCAACTCTCAAGGTCTACACAAGAAATTATATTGGGAAGATTTCTGCATTATGATCTGTGTCGAAATAATCGCCAAGTTTTGGCATAATCTCGGTATTATATCTAGGGTCAATTTCGGCATTTCTTAAATTATTTTACTTACTTTAGTTAAAAACAACTAGGCACGTGGGCCGTGCAGCGGCCCCTATCCCATTCATAATGAAATTACAAAAATGAGTTAAAAACATTTTGAATATAAGCAGCCGTTGTGGTAGCTCTACAATAATCTTACCATGATTAGAGAAAATTTCTTAAATTATGTTATAGGATTACGTTATAAATATAAAATATTTTCAAAATTACAGTGGTATTAAAAAAGAAAGAAAGCTTTTAACTTCCTACGCTTATTTTGGTCGATGCAAGTTTTGCAAGGGTAAAAAAATACACCATTAGTAAAAGCTTCAGACATGATTTTTCAAACTGTACCAACTTTGCCACGTATGACTTTCCAAAAGATTTGCTTGATGAAAGAAAAATTGTTCTCATAGAGATTGTGTAGAAGTGTTTCCACATTTTTATCCAACCTTTGCGTAAACTTGTCTCTTTGAAAGTAACAATTTTAAAGCAAAAAGGCATATGACCTTATCGCAACTCAAACTGAAATGCGTTATTGCCTTCTTCTCTAAATAGCAGAGACGTTGGGATACTTATTATTCATTCGAGCCAATTTTAAAAAAATTATGGTAAGAAATAAATTATTAAACTGCCTAGAAACTAGCATGTAGAGAGAAAACTATTGGAGAGATGAAATTAAGCATTGACATTGCTATCTTCACAATATCATTTCCCGCAACAACAACAAAAAATATTTAATTTTCCACTCTATTATAAATTTATTGCAGGCATGGGAACAATATGTAACATGGGAGCTGAAATTGGAGCAACTACTTCCATTTTCCCATATAACAGAAGAATGAGAGACTACTTGATTGCAACACGAAGAGAAGGTAATGATCGCAAGAAGTTTTGCAATATCACTTCGATAAAATATTCCAGATTTACATATGTAAGCAATTTAATTAAAAAATGTAGAAAATAATGAAAAGAAATACGAACTTGTAATAAACTTAATATCAAAGAAGTAACCATATTTGTACAATGTGTTACATAAATGGCCCGGTGTTGACGTATGCCTGTTTAGGCAGAGGGGGTGTGATTGTTCTTGCTTTCCAATGGCACCATCTATGGCCAAGAATTCGACTTCTGCCACACCATACGTCACACCCGTTTATAGGACGGACCCATTCATACATCCATTCATTCATCCACAGATCGTAATTTTGACCTGAATCAGAGAACGATCGATCTCCAATCCAGTACCCCCAGAGGTATTGATTTGTTATGGGAACATGGAGGACTTTTGCGACTCGACAGATTTAACGGTCGGCGGGGTTCGAACCCTCGAACTCTCGGGCATGGGTCCAGCGCCCTAGCGACCAGGCTATCCCGGCTCTAAATGGCCCGGTACCATAAACTACAATAAAAGGGAAAATAAATTTTTTTATTGTTATATTGTGGTATTTACGATTGTATTAGATAAAAGTCAAAAGTTAATTAAAAGCAAAATAAATTTCTTTCTACTTTTTAGAAGAAAAAAGATTTTTTTAAAAAAATGCTTTAGTTATATGCTTAGTTGAATATTCAGAAAGGTTTAGTAAACAGGGCAGCTACGATCTGTAAAAAATAAATAAATGTCTGCTAAAGTTTCTCAAAACTACAGAAAAAGGATTAAATTTTAATGGCGCTTACCTATTGTAAACTGTTTCATCGTTTTGAACATCAGGTCCTTTTATTTATATAATTTTTAATTATTTGTTATTTTTTGTTTTCTAATAATTATTCTCAAAAACTGCTTTCAGATAAGTACAATCGTAACTTTTATCATAATTTAATTATTTGGCGACTAACTGGACAATCTCTCCTAGTCATTAAATTACGATAAAGAAAACATTTCTGAGCTTATTTTAATGGAACTCTCGACAATTACTAATAGTAACATAAAACTAACATGCGAAGTTAAAATATTTTAGAAAAATAAAAGTGTAAGTTCAAAGGCCCACGAACAACTGGTTCATGAGAGGAAAGCGCCCCTATCAGCTCAAGATGTCATGCACCACATTAATTTTTTTAAGACCCGTAGGAACGCCGTCAAAAAGTTTTCAAGTTGACATTTTTTCAAATATATGGCTTCTATTAGATGGTCAGCCAAAAGTAAAGTTTTAGTAAATTACTAATCAAAGCAAGTGTATATTTATCTGGTTTAGCAATCACTTAATTTTAAATATTGTCTACTCTAAAGACACTAGATTCTGTATCTGTATTTTAGTTAAAGGCTTAGTATGATAATCCAAAACGTTTTACGTTGTGTTTTATAGAAGAAACGCATTTATTGACATAAAATTTGGAAGAAAAAAAAATAATAACAGCATGTTATAACAGCTTTTATATAACAGCTTTTAAAAAGCTATAACAGCATGTTATATAAAGTAAGTAACTTTATAACATATAATAAACTTTTTACGATCAATAACTCTCTTCTTTCAGAAATAGCAAATTTATCAGATCAGTACTACGATCTATTAACACCAGATCCAGGATGTGAATATGACAAAGTGATAGAAATCAACCTCGATGAAGTAAGTGTTTTAACCTAATGTTTTTAATTAAGTGTGAAGAAATTTTGTAAGTTAAAGAAATTTCTGCGATTAACTGCAATTAAATTAAATTAATAAACAAATTTATTGCGTATTTCTCATGAAATTTAAAATTATTACTTTCTACATAAAAAATATAAGAAATAAAATTGGTCCAAAGTTTACCCTATATATTAAAAATTGTTTACAGTTGGAACCCCACGTAAATGGACCATTTTCTCCCGATCTTGGACATACGATATCTCAATTGGGGAAAAATGCTAAGAGGAATGATTGGCCGACAGATGTTGCAGTTGGTAAGTTTCTTTTTGGCAATTGACTAATGCAGAACCTAATGCTTAAATTTAACTGCACCATCAAAATCTATTTGAAATACGTCAAAACATGTATCGTGCTTGTTAAAAGTTACAAGACAAAGTATAAGCTAACGCCACATACTAATGGATGGTTAATAAAGCTATTGTACCTTGATATCTCAGTTGGTTCACCTGGATACAAAGGATGCATACACTTGGCGTTTTTAATCACTGTACCAGTTATAGATATTTCATTATTCAATAATATCTAAGCCATAATAGCTTAGAGGACAGAGTGCCGCCTCCCAGTGAGGTGACCCGATTTCGAATCCCATCGATGACTGATCGAAACGAATTCTGCACATGGCTCACACCAACCACAGTGCTATCGTAAACTAAACTATCCTTCGTGGTAGACGGATCAGGAGTTATAGTCCCCTTGCGGTCATGCTAACCGTGGGTTTTTTTTCCATGGTTTTCCTCTCTGTGTAACTTAAAGGTGGGTTATTTCCATCAAAAAGTTCTCCACGAAGACAAATTTTCTTCCAATACTTAATCCAGAAGTTCCCCTTGTCTTTTGATTGCAGCTGAGTTAAAATCTCAAATGTTAACCCAACAGTATTAGTTTCTTTCTTTACTATATGTACCGCTACCATGCAATGGTTACCAAATGGTGTTCCACAGAACTCTAAGGTTCCATGGAATATTTAAAGGGGTTCCACGAGTTAGCACTTTTTATAACCCGTGATGAGTTTGAAACCTCAGATTATATTTAGATCCAACTTATAATTCATAATTTATTTAATCTTTCTGTTGCCTTCGTGAAATTATTTCAAGTAAAATGCCAAAAAATAGAAATGGTATTTTTTAAAAGAAAATATAGTCTTTCAAATAATAATATATTAAGCAAACTAAGAAAAGAATAAATTTTTATAAGACATTGCTCTAGTTTTTCCCACTGCGCTTTTCAAAACAAAATAAAGCAACTAATATATTTAACACTGGAAAGACTGAAACGTAGTATATACCTATATTGCCCAAAAATAGTAAAAATGACTGGATTGTGGAAGAATAATGTGTAAAGAAATTTGTTCAAAATTAATTCTTGATATTTTTTATATTTATTTACAGTAACATAACAAGTTATTTGTAAATATTAATAATCTTCCACATCCAGGTAGTCGAAAATCAATTGATATCATTAAATTCTGCAATAGTATTGAAAGTGATTTTCCGGTCGCTTGCTATACAGACGGAAGTAAATTAAATAACAGAGTTGGGCTGGCTTTTGTGATCTTTTATAATAATATAGAATTGGAGAGCCACTTAATTAGAATTCCTGATGACTGCAGTGTTTCCCAAGCTGAGTTTTTGTGTCTTTACCACTCTATTAAATGGATCTCAAAGAACTCATCTTTCATCAAAATTCCTCATCTGTTCAGATTCCCTTTCATCCTTATTTGCACTTAAATGTATCACTTCATTTAATAGAATTATTGTTAATTCGCAGATTATTTTAAATGAACTCCAATCCGAGGGTAAATCTGTGCTCTTTTCACATGTACGAGGCCACTCCGGTGTTCTGGGTAATGAAAGAGCTGGCTTTCTGGCGAAACAGGCGACTAATCTTGATTCCATTTGTGATATAAGTCCCCCAAAATCTTTTTTTGGACTTTCAGCGAGGTATAAAGTTCAAACTGTGTGGAACGAAGAATATCAAGCTTCTACAAATGCTTTAACTCTTCGTTCCATCTGCTAATCAAAGACTTAAAAACCAACATTTTTTCTGCAACTTTCATGTGACACAGTTTCTCACTGGACACGGCAACTTCAAGGCATATTTGAAAAGATTTGGCTTAAGTTCCAGTGATCTGTGTGATTGCAATATTGGAGAAACACAAGACGTTGAGCATTTTATTGTAAAATGCTCACATTTTGAGAAAATAGAAAAAAACTTAATAATTGCTTTAAATTCGCTCAATATTAACTTTCCTCCCCCTCTTCGCACTTTTGTAGAAAACAAAACCATCTTCAAACTTTTCTGCAAATTCATTGATTCAGTTTTTAATGCAACTTTATAAATCCCTTCGTTTTGTGTACTATTTTAAATTTTTTTTTCTTCCTTTTTGTATATGTTTTTTATTTTTTATTATTTTTTCGATTATTATTATTTTTCTTTTCCAAATTTTACATGTCCTTTTAGTATGTATTTCTGTTTAAAAAACCTACATTGTTTGCTACCATACATACTTAGCCTCGTGTTGTACTTTTTCAGTGGTGCACGAGGAATAATTTTATTCTTGAAATAAAAGAATAAAATAAAATTATATGTTGTGCAAAAAGTCACAATATTCTAAGAAATTGTGTCGTTATATACATTGCTTTTTCTAATTGAAATTAAAAAGCAGTCAAAACGACTTAACTAGGCAATCCAGTGTTAATAAAGAAATATGCTTCCCTAATAACCATTATCAACGCTTATAGCAGATTTTTTAAGCTTTCATTTCGAAGTAACCTATAATTTGTCTTATTTCATTCATTTTCAGCTAAGGTAAATACACCAAAAACAAATTCATAAGTAGACCAGATGTAGCAACTGCCAACATAAAACATAATTTCTGATTACTATTAATAAAACAATTAAAAATCTTTATAACTCTAACTAAGTATTTAAAAAAAAGTCTTTTATAGGTTATAACGTTGGCAATTACCGTAATAAACATTATTTATAAAGTCGGGGTTTCACCGAAAAAAGGTTGATTATTTAGGGTTCCGTAGCTGAAAAAAATTTGAAACCGCCGGTCTAAATCATGCTACGACACGCACTCATCCATAAATATCATTAATTGAACCGAATTCTAGTTCCTGGAAACTGAATTGAACCAAGGTGATAATAACAATTTTACTTTATCATTGCTTATTATAATTTTTTTCTGTAACATGATTGCTTTATGAGCTTCTTTGTATCTTAGCCGTATTTTTTTCTACTGAATTTTAGGACTTATCGGAAGTTGCACAAACAGTAGCTATGAAGATATGTCGAGAGCTGCATCTGTAGCCAAACAAATCCTTGAGCAAGGAATAAAGGCAAAATCCAAGTTTTACGTCACTCCGGGATCACTTCAGATAAAAGATACAATCGAAAGAGATGGACAGGTATGAATGACAGTTTTTTTATCAACTTTATAATTGTGAGAACTATTTTACCCAATATTTTTTTTTCGTAGATCATTACATTATAAGATATTAATAACCCGAAACAAGACCGATACATAACACACTAATGGAAAAATAATTTTATTTTTCTGTAACAAAGGAATCAATGGCCATCAACAAATTTTAATAAATATTTAGATGTTAAATACAATCAAAGCAGTTTTTTAAAGTTTGATGATAAAGTTTGAGAACTGTCCTTCCCATTTAATAGCTTACACAACCATTAACTACCGCTTACCCTATTTTTCAGAAATAAAAATTATGTAGTTATGTTCGACTTTTATTTCAATTTGCTGCAGAACCTATCACAAAATAACTAAACTGAATTTATAATTCTGCATTAACGAAAAGAATCCTAGACTTCCTCTCCTTTTATTTTAAAAACCTTATAAATTCCAATTCCTACGAACTGATTAACATATTAATACATGTATACGATGTTTTTAAATTTGCAGACTTACATTTTTTTTATCTAAACTTTATACTCCCGTTTAATTATACATTGATTATTTCTATATAATTACAGCTTTGTACTGTTTCTAACAAATTTAAAAAGTTGTAGTGAAATTTTTCAATTGAATTTTTGATTGAATGAATAGTTTTTAGTATCTTGCTTCTTAATTGCCTCAATACTTTAAGATAACCAAGTATTGACGTGTAGGTGGGACATTTTCAACATTTAATTTTTAAACCTGAATTGGAAATTATTACTGAACGAATTTGCAGCTGGTTTATGATAAAACTAACATCATTATACAAGTTTTGTTTTTTTTATCATATTTCTTTCATTGCTTATTAATTTAATTTTGTCAAAGATTCTGAAAATAAAATAAGAGTAGTCACACATCAGGACCTACCACGTCAAGAAGAACCAATTAGGACTCGATTTAATAATCATTTAGGTGGAAAAGTTTTCCTGGGAATTATCTTAAAAATTCTTAGAATGATTCATAAGAATATTTATAATTAATTAGAATTCATAAGAATATTTATAATTCATTAGAGTTCATAAGAATATTTTATTTGCATAGACCATCATTTTAAAAATTGTAGATATTTTAAAGTATCCAAGGGTCATTCAANCTCCTTTTATTTTAAAAATCTTATAAATTCTAATTCCTACGAACTGATTAACATATTATATACATGTATACGATGTTTTTAAATTTGCAGACTTATATATAATTTTTACTCCCACTCCCGCTCTACTCCCACTAATTTTTACTCAACTTTATACTCCCGTTTAATTATACATTGATTATTTCTATATAGTTACAGCTTTGTACTGTTTCTAACAAATTTAAAAAGTTGTCGTAAAATTTTTCAATTGAATTTTTGATTGAATGAATTGAAATTTAGCATCTTGTTTCTTAATTACCCCAATACTTTAAGATAACCAAGTATTGACATGTAGGTGGGGCATTTTCCACATTTAATTTTTAAACCAGAATTGGAAATTATTACAGAACGAATTTGCAGCTGGTTTATGATAATACTAACATCATTATACAAGTTTCGGTTTCGTTTTTTTTATCATGTTTCTTTGTTTGCTTAATAATTTAATTTTGACTAAGATTCTGAAAATAAACTAAGAGTAGTCTCACATCAAGATCTACCACGTCAAGAGCAACCAATTAAGACTCGATTTAAATATCATTTAGGTGGAAAAGTTTTCCTGGGAATTATCTTAATTCTTAGAATGATTCATTAGAATATTTATAATTGATTAGAATTCATAAGAATATTTATAATTGATTAGAATTCATAAGAATATTTAAAATTCATTAGAATTCATAAGAATATTTATAATTCATTAGAATTCATAAGAATATTTTATATAATATTTGATTGGCATAGACCATCATTTTAAAAATTGTAGGTATTTCAAGGCGTCCAAGGGTCATTCAAAATTTCTTTAAATGCCATTTCTCATCAGCAAAGAAGAGGAAATTTTCCTAGTTTTGCACCAACTTAAATACCAAAGATTTACACTTATCTATAATAGAAATATATGTATCTGAGTTATCAAATTTATGTGGTGATCTGGAATGTTTAATAATTATATTTTAAAAACATGGAACACGGCTTTCTGACTATAATTTATTCACCTTTATAATGATTTTGAGGGAGAACTGAACTATTTAGGTTATTCAATTATGACTAAAGTAAAAAACAAAGATCATAATATTTGGTTTACGTTGCTTTGCGTTCAATCACGTGGTTTTTCGCTTTAGTCTATATAACAGAAAAAATACCCTATCCTTTGTTTAATTCGTAATTATGGTTAGAGTTGGAAGCTTTGTAATCATGTCATTAGAATGAAGTTAGAACCTTTGACCTCAAATACAATTTTGAGTTGCTGACAAAATTTAATACTAATGCCACAGTTGTTTTTTACAAAAATTAGTTAATAAAAATAACAGTGAGTTGCTCTGAAATTTTTCTTTTAAAAAATCATGGTTAGATATTTAAAGCTTTAAATTATAAGTTAATTTATTTTTCAGATTGATATTTTTACTATTGAAAGAATTTTAATTTCTTTTAGCCTCCTTTCTTAATTCTTTAATCTTAAAAAATATTATTATTTAATCCATTCGAAGATTTCACTGCAGTTTTTTATTGTTTTGTAAGATATATTAAAACAAACTGCTCTTATCTTCATTTTGTTTCTGAATCATTTATGTTCTTTGACTCATTCCAATTACAGAATGTAATTGAATAAGTCTGAATCGAATGAATTACCATTTTCGAAATTCGCATTATGAAATTTCAGGCAGAAGCATTAAAAGACTTTGGCGGCGTCTTTCTGGCTAGTGCTTGTGGTCCTTGCATCGGGCAGTGGGATAGGTAAGTCATTCCCTTTACACATCCCCTTGTCTTCTGGGTTAGATTCAAAATTACAAGGCTACAAAGTTAAACATAGATAGTCACGAACTCAGAATCGGGTTAGCCGCTGGATGAGGGTTACAAAATAAAATGAAAAAAAGAAGAGAGTCGTGGCGGCTCAGGGGAAAGAGCGTTCGGCTCCCAATGTGGTGCCACGTTCGAATTCCAGCGATGGTTGATACAATTGCTGTATCAACCATAATGCAATAAATATTACTGGCTGATACAAATAGCACATACGGCTCGCACCGACTGCAGTTCTGACGTAAAAATATCCTCAGCTGTAGACGGATTATGGGTTAGAATTTCCTTCCCGCCTAGTTAACCGTGAGAGGTTACCGTGCTTTTCCTCTCCATGTAACGCAAATAAGGGCTCTTTTCTTCGAAAAAATCCCATACGTAGGCTAGTTTTTCCGAATACTTGATCCAGGAGGCCTTCTAGATTAGGTTCAAAATTACAAGGCTACGGAGCTTTGATTGTTGTGAACTCAGAATTGGGCCGATTATAAAGTACTAAGTCACTGAAGTTTTTCAAGAAAATGCACATAGTTTCCACAATTACCATATAACACACAGAGACGATTATATAAAGTGGTTAATAAATATTAAAGTGCAAAAACTTTAACATTTAGAGTGCTAGGTGTCGGAAAACACCCTCAAGTGCAAAGGGCTGATAAAATTTCAAAATTCAATCTTTTTTCTATTGCAGTTATATTACTATAATATTAGTCTTAAAAATTACTTTTCGCCACACTATTTGAAAGATATAACGCTTATACGTATCATCCAGCACACTTATATACGAATGTTCTGGAGTAACGCAGCAAGCGTAATAAGAGGAATCTATATTGCTGTCATGCTCAGTTAGTTCAAGAGGAACGTGTGAGAATAGTACGTGAATATGTTAAATGCACGTGAAATGCTGCCAATGAGAGATTCAGGCAAGCTCTGAATTCCGTGGGAAAGTTCTAAATATCTTTATTATCTTCAAGATTAACAGTATCTACTAATTCTAAGATGGGTGCTCAAGATGTGATGAAGCTTTTTACAAAACCACCGCTTTGACAGCTATTACCGAATCTGCATTGCGGTTATGCGCAGTTCAAGGCGTATGTGCTGGTATTTAGATATGAAAATGCTAAATCTTTCTATTAGAGATTATGGACAGCTTCTTACTCCGTGAGATGGTACTTGGAGGCTCTAAGTAACTTTATTTTCATCAAGAATAACATAACTAAGACGAGTGTTCATAATTATGATGAAGCTCTTTACAAAGTCACCGGTATGACAGATATTACCAAACTGTTTTATCAGCTATCATTATAAACTATTTACTTAATGCACATGTTATTGGGAGTTATTTTAAACTATTTACTTAATGCACATATCATCATTTTATAACAGACACTGACATTGTCTGTTATACAACTATTTGTGACTCTTATTAGATACTATATTGTTTATTTCCTCTTCTGTTTTACAAGGACTCTAAATAATATGTATGTACTCATGACCCTCAGTTGTTACTTAATTACTGTTTTGATTTAATAGGAAGGATATCAAGAAGGGAGAAAAAAATACCATAGTTTCTTCCTACAACCGTAATTTTACTGCCAGGAATGATGCCAATCCAGAGACTCATGCTTTTGTAACTTCACCGGAAATGGTGGTTGCTCTCTCTGCTGCTGGTACATTGGACTTTAATCCCTTGACAGATAAGCTTACTAACTCTAAAGGTAAGAAAAATTTTTAATGTTATCATTTTCTACATTTGTATATCCTAATTTTTCACTAGAGTTGTATACATTAATTTATTTTAGACTCCTGGCAATATTTAAAAGCATAATTGCTGATTATAATGTCAGGGTTATTAATCCGGGATGATGGCTAAAAAAAATTTCCAAAGACATATTTGGATAAAAAATAAAGTTTAAACACAAATATTTCGAATGTATAAAATAATTACTGAGGGAAAACTTTTTCAACGAACATAGATTTGAGTAGCTATGCATTTATTAATTACAAATTTTAAGACCAGCATTGAAAAAAAAAATTATGAAGAAAAAAATACGGTTGAATATTTAGATTTAAATTAAACGGAATCTTGACTTATTAGTTACTATTTTAGATCTGAAAAGAAATTAACCACGGCATGATTTTAAAGCATAAATTAACTAGAACAAGGTTTAAAGAAACGTTTTTATTTATTTTTCGTTTATTTACTTTCTGCAAAAGCAAATTAAAAATAAAGTAGTAGTGTAATTATTTACATCTTTCAAAAGGAGAAAATAAAAAAAATTATAATGAGGTCCTATTGCTTTAAGCTTAAGTCATAAACTATTTGCGATGGATTAATATCATTGCTTCAAATTTCGCATGCTTATAAAGTAGAGATATTAAGCGATTTATTGCAAAAAATATTGAGCGCTAATTGGCTAAATTTAAGTCATAATTAGTCAATGTTTTTGGTGTAAGTATTATAAAAGGAAATAAAAACTCAAACTGATTTTATAAAAATGATTTTTAGTATTTATTTATTATTATTCCTATTTATTTATTACAATGTGTACTTTTTTAACATGAATGCTTCATTTCAACAAATTAAATTATTGGTAATAAATTAATGAAATTTTAATTCAAATTTCGCATGTTTATATAGTAAAGATATTGAGCGATTTATTTTTTTTAAAAAAAAGATATTGAGCGCTGATTTGTTAAGTTTAAGTCATAATTAATCAGTGTTTTTGGAGCAAATAGTAATAAATATTAATAAACATTCAAAATGATTTTATATAAATGATTTTGTTACTGCATTCATTTATTACTATTGCTAAATGTAAGCATTCATTTATTACAATTGCTATTTATTTATTCATCATGTACTTTTTTAACATGCGTATTTCATTTCAACATTTTTAGCAAGCATACTTCATTTTAACAAATTTAATTATTTGTGATAGATTAATAACATTTCAATTCAAATTTCGCATGTTTAAAAAAATCCTACTTTTTATTATTAAAAAAAATTAGGTGAGAAATTTATGCTTGAAGAACCGAGAGGTGAAGAACTGCCTGTCAATGGCTTCAATCAGAAAGATGTAAAATTTCAACCTCCTCCAGGTGATGGTTCCTCTATTCAAGTTGATGTTGATCCCAAAAGCCAAAGATTGCAGCTTTTGTCTCCTTTTGATAAATGGGATGGAAAAGATTTAGAAGATATGTTAGTGCTCATTAAAGTAAGTAAGGTTAAAATTATTGGCAAATTACTCAGGACACAATTTATATCGTCTTCTAATTTATTCACTTTTTGTACTTTTTCAAATCATAACCTGTCCATCACCTAAAAGATTTCGGTTTTTAACTTTTTAAAAGAAAAACCTAGTCATCATTATTATTATTTACCCCTGTTTCTGGAGTTTCTAAGAAACTGCTAATTTAGCAGTTATTGCATTTGTGCGATTAATGCTAACTCTACACAATGACTCCTGACAATGGTTTACTATAATATATCCTATGACTCTGTTCTAATATTTTCCTATATACCTGTATTTTTAAAATCGTGTTTTTCATGTCAGTGTATATGTTGTTTCATCTTTAGATTATAGGAGATCGAACTTCTTAATGTTAAAAGAAGTAAAAATATTAGGTATGGCTTTGAAATAATTAACTTGAAAACAAAGATTATTAATATATTTTCGCGGATTAACAGAGTCGGTAAAATCAGAGGCACTTATGTAATTTAAACTTAACTCTCCTCTTCTTTATTTATTTACTATTAACGGGAACTCGCTCTTCTCTTGAGCGTTTTATAAGTATTCCAGTGTCTTTCTAAATCAAACTATTTTAAATGCATTTTATATCAATCTTTATGCATTTTCAATCTTATTTCAGTGTTATGCAATCTGCATGCATTATGTTAGTTTTGCAAAATTTTACTCACTTTTCTCACAGGGGAAACAGAAATTTATACAACAACTTAAGTTTCCATTAATTACTGTATAGTACAATCATAAATAGACATTTATTAAAATTTTTATCGTCAATAAGTAAATAAAAATAAGATGGAATAGCTGGGGGGTCTCATATTTTTTAATAGTACATATGACACTGGAAAAAATTTTAAATACATAAACACTATACTAAATCAATTATCAAAGATAAATTTCTTGAACACATATTAGATTCAAAATAATAATGATGGAGAAAAAAACTAGGCTTAAATTAGTTCTTAACTTGAATGTTTATTGTAACAATTTAATTAATAATTTTGAAGTGTGCCTAAAAGTGTAAAAAGTAGAGACCAATAAAAATCAACAACTCTTTTTAACTTATTGCTTTCAGTTTATTATTGAAAGTATAGCGGGGTAGCCACAGTCAGGCAAACATTTAAAAACTGACGACAAAGATTTTATGAGATCATCGCAAATTTCACAGCCTTTAATTTCACATCAATTCTAGGAATTCAGTTGTAACACAAATATTTAATTATCAAATATTTTTTATCGATAGTAATTAGTTTAAAAATTTTGATTCCTTGGTATTTTACTACCTGTTTTTAAGTTTTTCGTGAAAGTGGAAACCCTATTCAGCGAAAATTCATCAGACAAGTTAAATTACATACATTTGCAGGCTAGTGTGCCCAATTTAGGCTTATAAAGCCTTTCACAAGTAGGACAGCTAAAGCAATTCAGAGAAGGGCATCTCTAAGAATACATCGAGGGTTACGGCAGAATTCGAGCTCGTCGATTAAAATACGTATTATTGATATCATAATGCATGGTGGTAGTTACGAATGTATAGTTAAATTGAGAAATTATACTAGTATAATGAATTAAGTTTCTACCACTTTTTTGTATTTGAAACTATTGTATTATTACTGAATTTGCGCTTGTATAGTTCTACTTTCGTTTCATGCACAATCAATTATCAAGTGTTGATGAAAACAATTTTTATTTCATTTACTTTGACAGCCCATTAAAGATAAATTAACTATAATACAATACTTGCGTTATAATACTGTTCTTGTGTTAAAAAGCAATCGTTTAAAAAAAAATTTGAAATTTAATTTCTTTTTAAAACATCACATAAACTCTGAATATCCGTAAAATGTTAAGTAATAGCGATTCGGCCAATAATACGCTTTTAAAACAAGAAATGTGTAAATACTCTTTTCACTTTCCATTTTTATATGTTAAGCGTTAATAGAAGATTTGTGAAATTACCATTATATTTTATATCATTGTTTCGTTTTTTTATTTTACATATAGGTTAAAGGAAAATGTACAACTGATCACATAAGTGCTGCTGGACCATGGCTGAAATATCGAGGACATCTAGACCATATTTCCAACAATATGTTTATTGGGTACAGTGAAAAATTGTTTCTTTTGCTTTAATGATACACATAGAGCCACTTGGGCTCAGGGGAAAGAGCATTCATCTCCCAATGAGGTGTCCCAAATTCAAATTTCAGCAGTGGATAGTTGATGCAAATCATGCTCCCGGGCCGCACGCACAGCGCTGACGTAAAATATCTAAAATATCTTCAGTGGTTATCCACGCGGGTTAGAATCCACGTATCATGGGTTAGAATCCACGCTGGAAGTTTTCGAGGTCTCCCTCTCCATATAACGAAACTTTGGGTCAGTTTCATCAAAAATTCCAACACGAAGACTAATTTGTTCCAATGCTTGATTCAGGAGTTTCCTTGACTTCTGGGAAAGGCTCAAAATTGCAAGGATGTAGCGTTGAACATTAATAGTCGTAAACTCGGAATCGGGTTAGCAGTTCGATGCCGACTTAGACAACAACAAAAAACTTAAACACATAGTACCTCATTAATAGAAATATAAACGTAAAGCGGTAATAGAGCTATATTGAAATAAATACTTTTTTACTGGAGCTCTATCAATGAACCATGAGAATTCATGAAGATGTCAGTAAATCAAATGTAATAAATTATTTGATTCACTAATATGAGTTATTTGATTCACCTTCTATAAAAAGTTACCTTCTCGTATGTATATAAAGAAGAATGTTAAACATAGATCAAAATGCAAGGTTAAAAAAAAATTGACATAGTGAAGATTGAAAGTGGACTTGTTTTTAATTCGTTTTTTAAACTGATTTCTAGTCGTATTTTCAAAGAATCATTCCAATTCATTCGCAATGCATAAGTCTCTGGGATCATATTTTTTCATAGAAGTCTCAATTCAACATACAATTCAACAAACAAGTACAGTTTTTCTAAAATCTTTTTCTATAATTAAAAATGAAAAGGTTCTAAGATATTTTGGTTCTAAGAATCTTTGAGGTTCAAGAATGGGTAAATACAAAATCACTCTCTCGAACCTCAAACATTCTATTACTTGATTAAAGAACTTCGTCCGCTTTAAAAATATATATACAAATTGGAAATAACAGTCGACCTGTTTAAAACGCAAGAAAATTTCGACAATGCCAAAATTACTTCTATTCTATTCACATCAGGTTATCTTGATGCCCTAGAATCTTGTTTTATTCATATGAATGCTGCTTCCCTTGTCAATAACATTAGTTCCTCACCACCGCCCGCTCCATAGCTCGTGGGAATGCATGTTACCCTAATTTGCACTCCTCGACCACTATAGTTTTTCTTCTGTTTTTCATCTTTTCTTTTTTTCGTTTCTGTTTTTTCATCTTTCGATTTTTTCTTCCCCTCGTATTCTTCACAAGTATATTTCTTGTGTTGACATGGATTTTGGGAGAATATCAACATTATCTACAACAAAAAATAACTCCATTGCTAATGATCATGATTCTATACCACATTTGACGAATATTTGGAAACCATTAATCATTTAATGTTTTAACTTTAACTGTATTTTTATCTCCTTAGTATAACTTAATCTCTGTCTAATTAAATCATCTCTATTGTTTTACCGTAGCTGTTATTTATCTTAAGCTTACGAAGGTATACCATTGAGCTCATATTCTCATGTGGAGCTATAAAATTTGTGTGAAACGTACCTGTGTGTTCTAGTAACGAAAATAATTCATGTTTATCCTCCCTCTGCAGAGGATCAGAATTGCGAAGGCATGTCTTCGGATCATCCTCAGGGATGTTTCCCAAACCGTCGCCTACAGCCTATTGTTCAGCTCTAGTGCGAAGTAAATAAAGTACCTACCTACTCATGTTTATCCATGTTTATCTTATTTTTACTGTTATATTTACAATATTAACAGTAGAAAATTTTATTGGTTGTACCCTTATTGTAAAACATTTTAATCAAAATTGTTTTAGCAATATAAATAAAATGTGAAAAATTGTATTTCTTTTAATATAGAGCCATAAATTCAGAAAATGGGGAAGCAAACAATGTAAAAAATAGACTGACTGGAAAGTGGGGTTCTGTACCTGATACAGCACGATATTACAAAGTAATTATCTTTTCTATTAACTAAACTTCTCTCGCGGTGTAATGATCAGGGAACTGATCTCACAGCAGGAAGGTCCTGGGGTTCGAATCCTGGATGTTATTTCAATCTCTGAACTATCTCTCCCTACTGTGGGAGCATCGTTGGCCCACCTAATATGGTGCCCTTGTAAGAGTGGCCAACAAATCTGCCCTGCTGATACCTGAATCTGGAGAAAAAAAGAAAAAAACTTTTCTCACTGCCTTAGGTTCGAGTTTTAAATACTTTATATGGGATTTTAATTTTACAATATGCGTTTGCAACATTGTGAAACGATAATGTATTAATGTAAGCATTAAATCAAATATACAACTGTCATAATTTTTTAATACGAAATCTTAGCTATCATAACATGTTCTATTTAACAATTTATATTTCCTATACATAGGTAATTTATTTATGCAAACTAAAGTTTTAATATATTAATAGTTTAAAACAAAAATATAAGGACAATTACCAAGAGAAGAATTAATTTTCTATGTGTATCATCAAAATAATTCTTTGCATTTTTTATAATAAATAAAAGTTTTAAAGTAAAGAGTAAATGTATTGTTTAATCTATTGTACTTCCAAATAAATAAATCATCAGTGAACTACATATCTAGTAACTTAAACCAAAAATTTTCAAAAAGAAATCGAGCATTGTTGTGCTATTTTCTTTGCTCGGAATGAAAATTATTTTCGAATTTTAATGTATCTGCACTTATTTATATACAGAGACTTATTAAAATTGTTTGCGAAATATTCCAACATCAAAGTGTTATTAATGCAGCTAAGTTTTTGGATTATTTCATGTAAATTATTATTTTTCTTAAAACATCTTAATAATTCTTCTGTGTAGCGGAATTGCAGAGTAATTATTACTATTATTTGGCGGCCACACATTTTTATGTTGTTAACTTTTAAGTTTTAAACTGGATATCCCAAGATTATTAGAACAAACTTTAAGAGTAGATAGGGAACATCGCAGGAATTCAGAATTGTATAGCAACCCATGGTCTTCGCCGTCATGTGAAAGTAATATGTGAGGTACACGAAACAAAACTAAGATCATCTGAAATATTTATTGGTCAAAGATAATGCATGTGCTGTGGTAGATAATATGTGAAAATAACACAAAAGATGTTCAAAGTTTCCAGCAACGCATGCGTTATACCTTCAGGCTATGGGTTGGCGAACTCGCTCAAATATAGCAGGATTTTGTTGGATATCTACAGTAGCACTGACATTTCTTGCAACCAGAGCCATTTCGGAATCCACAGATGTTGCTTACACAGCACTTTCCATTGCACCCTAATGAAAGAAAGGCTGGAGAGCAAGGTGGCCAGGGAACCAGTTCACCCCCGAGCGGTGAATGAAGACCTTCCTGAACATGGGTTATGCAAATCTGAAATCTTGTGATTACCCTTGCCTACCCTTAAATTGTGTCCCAATAATCCTGGGACGCCCTGTATACATATATTGTATAAAAAAACATCTTTCTTTCTGTTTAAGGCAAAAGGTGTGAAATGGGTGGCTATTGGTGATGAAAATTATGGAGAAGGCAGTAGTCGGGAACATGCTGCTTTAGAACCAAGACATCTTGGAGGAAGGGCTGTCATTGTTAAGAGTTTCGCTAGAATTCACGGTAAGATTTTTTTTTACGATTTAATATACTGGATCATTAAATTCTTTGGTATTGAATGCGTGTTAAGCTCCACCAATTGTTATTTTTTCAGAAACAAATCTAAAAAAGCAAGGTGTATTACCTTTAACATTCAGTGATCCTACTGATTATGACAAGATCCATCCTTCAGATAAAATTTCATTATTAGGATTAAATGACTTATCTCCTGGAAAAGTAAGTAGTTAAAAAAACAACGTACTTTTCATGAAACTGCGTTTCTTCTATTATTTAAACGTGTCTCACTGACTAAAAATTCTAACTAGATAACTCTTGTTATTACAGAGGGCTGCCAACTACTACAGCTGTTTGTAAAATATGTTATAGTATGGTACACAATTAAAAACTAAAACTTTCAAAATTTTTAGTAATTTTGCCAACATTTTAAAAGCCCCACAGCAGGAGAGCCGGAACTAAGTAACGTTTCATATGAACTTTTGAGAATGATTTGCATATAGTGATGTTGAAAATAACTTTAAATCAAGTTTAACAAACAAAGAATCATACATTAAAACATAAATTTTGAACTCATAAATTTATCACTTGAGAAACATGACGAAAACGTTCGAAAAGTTAGAAAGTTGTCAGCCCTGTAATTATCGTATTTTTTATGTGGATGTTATATATGCAATTCGATGTTTCCGAGTATTGTGCTGTTGTCTAGCGGAAAAAAATCAACAAACTTGAATAGTAATTATCCGGAAACAATACAAATGAGCAGTTTGATATGTTCTCTTTGATTACCTGAAGCCCTTCGTTTAGATTGAAGAGTGTTATCTTTTATTGATGCATTTATTCATTTTATTTTTTTAACTCTTTCAGCCAGTGAAATGTGAAATCAAACATGAAGACGGAAAAATTGAGACAATCTTTCTGAGTCACACTATGAATAAGTTGCAAATCGAATGGTTCAAAGCCGGGAGTGCTCTAAATCGCATGGCAGAAATGAAATCATCCCAATTTGTTTAAATTGAACAATTCGTTGTTCTTGTTTACATTCTTAATTAATCGTGTCTCGTATGTTTTTTAAATAAAAGATATTTATTCTAAAAGTGTTTTTCTATTTATGTTAGCAAGACATTAAAACTGTTTACATGTAACACTCTATAAATCAAGTCACTTTTTTTTAGATTTTGTCACATACGATTCCTTTGACATAACCCAAAAGTTTCCCTTCATAGACAAAAATGATTTAACTTACTAATAATGTCTCCAGAGTTTAACCTACCCATATAATTATACAAAAAATAAAAACCCGTGTTCAAAATCCTCCTTTCCTTTTATAATTGAATCATGGTGTAAGCATACAAGTGTCCATAAGCAGCAAGGCAAATCGCGTAAGCAAGGCATATGCAATTCCAATTTTTAAAAAAATTCTCAATGAAAACGAGTTTTTAAGAATACTGGGTACGAAATTATTAAAAGAAGTAGCTCAGGAATATAATGTAACTCCTCACTCTGTTACGAAATTTCCTCCGGCATATTTATTGAATGTCATAGCTCCATATGAAAATCTTTATATTTTTCCTCCAATTAAATGTGAAGAATAACAGTTGAAAGGACAAAACAATACCACGACAAAAATAAAGTTAATTATGATTCTATGTTTGTGGGTATTCATTGGTTGACACAGTCATGTATGAGGAGCTTAAATATGCTAACACTGGAAAACTCACAACTTTTTTCGTTCTTATTAGAGTCCTTGATTTAGAGAGGCTGACTCGTCCGCCATTTCTGAGCAAAAACTTACCTCAAGAGCAACTCTTTGCTATTCTTTCAAACTCTGATTGAAATCTTAACACTAGAAAGTCGTTTTTTTTTATACTGTTTGTCAAATCCATCGCTACACTACCCATATCAATAATTTTAAGTATCTAAATGAGCTTCAAACTCTCACGCTAATGTTAACACTACGTAACTAGCGAACTTCTTTGCTCCATAATGGTGGACAGTTCAGCTCCCACTACAGAGGAGCCTTAGTCCTTATAACATCATTCAAAAGATGTCTGATGTGAATCAAGCAATAGATCGAAAGAATAGTCCAGAAAAAAACAGAAATTGTAAAAAAATAGGTACCCGAATAATTAAAGTTAAGCCATAAAAGATTCAAAAAGAAAAAAAAAATGAGGGAAGATCCGACCCCATAATATTTTATAAATTTAAAGTGTTTACTTACATACAAACTAATGAGAGGCGCTGGTTTGTTATGTGTTTGAGGTCTAATCACAAATTACTTTTTTTTTATTAAATACGAACTTGCGCAACAATATTACTAAGATTCTGGGCTGGGGACTACAGCTCTGTATCGAGTAGAAAGTCCATAATACTAATTTTAAATTCTAGAAACAAGACAAAGAAGTATCCTGCTTTCTTTTACACAATTTTTGTACAAAAATTTCTGTAAAATGAATTTTCATACTAATGTAATTTTGCTTCATTGTATATAAATGTTTGCAATTATCAAAATTGTGAATTGCGCATTTAAGGATATCATTGGTCTAACAATAGTGAATGTACCATATGACGTAGATTGGACACTGGTGTCCCTTTTATATATTTTCTTTCTGAAGCTCTAGCTACAAGCAAAAATATATTTTCGTATTCTTTAATTGTAAAAAAAGTTTAACAGTTGCTAAGAAAATTATATCATGATTATCGGAATTACATTTGTACTAAAATAAAAAATCCAAGAAAAGTAGTTGGAAAAAAAAATTATCCTTCATATTTAAACATTTATCAATAATTGATTTTGTAAATTAAAGAAATTTCAATGATGAATTTTCAAGACCTAAATAACAGTAACTAGGTGCAAACTTGAAAAGTTACTTTATGAAAGTGAACCTCGTCTAGAAGATTTTACCTTCAACGCAGGAAATAATACCGGTAGTATATGCGATAAACGTGTTCATAAAATGCGTGAAGTTGAAATTCCTGTGGTCGGTCCCCGAGTAGTACCATGGATACAAAGATCAGGAGAAAATTTCTTTCTCCTTCAGATCTATGTCTAAATTGAGGAAGGCCTCATGAATGAGTTGGACTGCCACCAATCCGGAGTTCTTAGCCAAGACGTGTTTTCAACCTTGCGGTGCTTTCTTGTCAAACGAAAGGCAAATATTTTTGACTTAGTTTTCAAGGCCAATGGGTTGGCGAGCTTGGCTTGTCCAAGTGTCAATAGAAACAACAAACTTTTTTCATTTTAGCTATTTTTTGCTACTTTTAAAATAGAAAATGAATATACGATATAAATGTTTCCTCAACATATGTCATTAGAATTATGAATAATTAATGACTGTTTGAAATTCGAAAGCAATACTGCAAGCATCACTGCAAAATAATCTCTTTGACTAAAACTATTTTACGATTTGTGGCAGTGCATTATAGCCCATGTGTCACAAAACAAACAGTTAATATTGTTACGAATTTGTAAATGTGTTTATAATTTTGTGAGTATTTTTTTGCTATGAGACTTAATGTTACAGACAGTCCCTAAATAAACAGCAATTAAAATATGCAAGGATATTGCTTAATTTTAACGTAATTAATAGAAGAAATAACGTTTAATGCATTTCTTATGGAAAACTCGGTCTGTCGGCATTTTTGCCAACAAAATGATAGTTCTGAAAAATTCGAGTTTAATATTTACGGAGATATTACGAGAATTGTCTAAAATAACATCGAAATTACGGAGTTTTATCGTCAAGCCTATAAGAATAGGAGTGTGCCAATAGCGTCCAGACTTGCGAGGTAGAAAAAGCTTATAAATTAAATTACACAACTATCCAAGCTGTAATTGAAAGCTAGAAATAGCTGCTGATAAATTTTTGGAATCTTAAGGACTGTTTTATTCATTTCCAATCAACAAGATCCCCTATGTTCAGTAGAATATTTTGAAGACATAAGTTTAGTTGGAGAACAAAGACAAAAAGGAAATATTTTCTCTAACATATATTTTATGATACAATGATGATAATCTTATGAAAATTAATAGCAATTTTCTTACAATATAATATTTGCATAATATTTTAAAAAATAAATTCTTAAAAAGTCAATGTTTACAGTGAGAAATACATTATTTTTCATTTAACTTTGCTTCAAAAAAAGACTTAATGTCAAAAACATTTAGCGTGTATTTTTTCACAATTAAACTCAAAACATTTTCTATTTATTTCTCTTATGAGAAATTTCAAAATTAAAAACTATTTGCGATTTCTCTCTTCTTTTTTTCTGAAGAAAAAAAAAAAAAAAAAAAAGAAAAGTNAAAAAAAAAAAAAAAAAAGACTCGTTTAAGAGAAAAGTAATGAAAGAGAAACATTTCTTAAAATCTCTATTTCACCCCTCAAGACCTGCTCCACTCCTCTTCCGGGTCGCTATTTTCCAATCCAGCAACTTATGACAACCCGCTCTACAGTTCAGCATTTTTAAGGTAATAAAACTCGATTCCTGAATTCTTTTTAGTTAAGGTAACAAATTTTAATAAAAATAAACACATAATTGGGGCCAACCACAGCCAAGAGAAAAAGGTCAAAAAAGGAGAGCGAATAGTTAAAGGCCTTATGTATTATATATTAATTAATGCAGGGCTGTCACTGGCTATGGGTGAGTGTTAATGAAACAAGGTATTTAGTTTTACAGGCACTGAATCATAATGGTGGGGAGCGGGGAAATTAGGGTAAACAGAAAATTCAACAAGGGACAGAAAGAAAATTTTTCGTTCTAGAGCTTAAATGTAGAATAACTTTTAAATTATAATTTTTCATTTTATACAATTTTCATATTTTAAAGTGCATAGTGTAGTATGCAAAATAATTTTGCTTTTATAATATCAGTAAATATACTACAATTATATCTCATGGAATTTTATACAAACTTATTTAAATACAAGTAATTTTAAAACTTATTAAATACGTAATTAGTGTATACTTGTAAATAATTCTTTCTAGAATAATTTACTTTTGGCAAATTGTTATTCATTCAGGTTTTTAGTCTGATTGAAAAAATTACTTAATTTATACAGTAATTAGTTTGCAATAATTGAATGTGAACTTTTAGTTGCAGTATAGTTAAATATTACATTCTATCAGAGTTTTGATCATTTTAAACGCTAAAAGAATTTTTAAAAAACACCAGATTTAAATTTTTAAAATATCCAATGTTTAATATGTATATTTTTTATTAAAATGTGTACAATGTATCTATATTATATAAAACGCTAATACGTACGTATGTATGTATCAATAAAACCGATGATATTTCTTTTCTCGCGCTGGCAACAGTTTTCATTTTTAATTGATTAGATTCGGCGAGCAAGAGCTCGTAGTGAGCAACCAGATAACAATAACCAGAGTGAGCATTATCAGGTTGTTCAATTCAGATTCATGCACTAAAAACATGACATTATAATATTAAAAAAACACAACTACTTCCACTTAGTAGGAATAACATTTACCATGACGCAATGCTAAATTCTATGCCACTATCCACATAAATTAATTATTAATCAAAAATCGAATATCAATTACGCTTCTTTATAATGCAATAAAATCTGGCGAGCAGCTATTTAAACGATCAAACACTTCGTTTGTTTATTTATCTGAAATACCAAGGCTCGCAGAAAATGCCGTTCATGGGTTAAATTTAGTAGGAATAACACAACCTGTGACGTAGGCTATA